AAGGCTTTATCTATAAATGTAGCGGTAGCGCTGTAGCGGCAAAACCTCGTATCGCTACTTAAATATGTAGCGGGCGCTACCGCTACCGCTACATTGCCTTAAATGTAGAGCCGCTACCGCTACCGCTACTGAAAATGTAGCGGCCGCTAGTAGCGGCCGCTACTTGTAGCGCGCTACTGCCCACCTCTGATGATAAGTAAATAATATGAAAATGACAGGCAAATGATAGGTAAATTATAGGTGAGTGATAGGCAAATGATTGGTAAATGACAGCTGAGTAATAGGCAAATGATAGAAAAATGATTTAATAGGTAAATTATAGGTGAATGATAGGTGAGTGATGGGCAATTGATGAGCTAGTAACTTTATCCACAAATATATTTGCTGAACATCAAAACAAAATGTAGTGTTTGATTTTTAAATCCAATATGATAATTGCACTCATTTGTTCATACACTGCTCTCCAGAATTTCACCACTAACTAGTAAGTTTTAGCTGAGAGACTAGAGAGCATGGTGGCAAATGGCAAATGAATGAGATATTTTTTAGAAGAGAATTCTTTTTAAATTTCCTGGTCTGGTTTAAAAGTTTATTCAGTATCTCTATAATAAAGCAGATATCTAGGATACTTTAGTCTTTACAGATCTACTCATAAGACTCAAAAGGAAGTCTTAGAAATCCTCTGCTTGGCCATTAAGAGTATAATTTCATGGCTGACTGGGCCCTGCAAGACTGAGGAGATGCTTTGTTCACACAGTGGAGTGCCAAATTCTTTGGGCTCAGATTTATAGTTTGTAAATATCTGTTACAGAGACTGATACAGAAGACAACACTGGACTTCAAGGAAAGTTGAGAGGCAATGCCAGTGCCTGATAACATGAGTAAAGCAGCACAGATATGATGTGCTTCACTAACCACAAGAGCAGCAAAGCCTTCTGGCAACCCCAAAACAGTTACTGTCTCTCTGCTTTAGTCTGCTGCTTATACAGTGGTTATACAATCTCAAATAGAGCTATGCAAATTGGAACTAACTTGAACCAATTCAACATGGTTAACAAATTCTGAGAAAATCTTGAACATATTTATAAAAGGGCTCAATGCCTATAGCTAAATGGATGTATGTCAGTAGCTGCAACTCAAGGTGCATATATGCTACTTGTGTCTGCAATAAATGAAAAAATTGTAAGATGGTCAAATTGTACTGAAACTATTCTGTCAAGAAAAGGTTATGTTTCAGTTTCTAAATTCGGAGGTTTTCTGTCATAGCATGCAGGTATTTGCCACCTCCTTGATGTCTTTTCAAGACTAAAGTCACTAAACTGTGCTGAATATTGGCTGATATCTTTCAGACCAATGGAGATCTTAATATCATAGAAATTTGAGGCTGTCCATGTTATATCTACTGATAATGATTTAGTGTTTTGCAGCCCTTACAAGAGTACACAATTTCTTGCTATAAAAAAGGTAAATCTTTGCATTGCATGCCACCATTACAGGTCTTACTGAGGTACTGAGGTACTACCGGTATATGCTTTGATCCATGATTATGGTAGCTTTAAATCAAATGAAAATTCCAATAGTATTAATTTATGTGTGATTTGTGGTTGTTGGATGTGTCTTGACCGACAAGCAAATAATGAAATCCCCTCTAAATGTATGCATTCAGGCTGCTTGTGCACATATGAGTACAGCCATTGCATTTACATCTGTGCTTTTTACTTCAGAGCGAGTAATTCTGCCATACTGATTTTTACTTACTTTACTTTTTTTTACTGAGCGAGTAATTCTGCCATACTGATTTTTTTATGTTCAGTCAATCAGCTAATGCTGAGTACTAACTGAATGATAACCAGGCATAATGATAACAAATTGTTAGCTATTGTTGCAGAGTAAATCTTTTTCCTTATTTGTTTTCCCAATCAAACTGGGAATTGCAGGCGACTGTTAAATTAGTCATGCAATACTGCCTTCTTCCACAATGCCTCATGAAAATCAATATTCAGCATGGGTAAGTACAAAATTTAAAAGAAATATTGCAATTGCTGTAAATACCATGTGAAAGAAAATGGTGTAAATTGTGCTGTCATTTATAGATGGCAATTTCTATTGAGAACGTTAGTTATAAATGAAAATGGCTTATGAAAATCATATTATTCTAATTATTTTTTATGTTTTTCATAATATTTACTCATGAATCTGAGTTATTGACTTGAAAGTTCAGCTCTTAAAAATAATTTTTTTGTCTTCCAAGACTTGAACATCTGGGAAAACATTTAAGATTCTCACTTTCTTTCAGATGGGCTCGGTGTATGTGTTCAACCTCATTGTCGGCACTGGGGCTCTGACGCTTCCTGGTGCATTTGCTTCAGCAGGATGGCTTCTGTCAAGTGCAGGCATCATCATTTTGGCTCTTTTCAGGTATTGTTACTTACATATTTATTGTACACTGATGTAATTTCCTTTTCAGGGAATAATTGTTGCCACTTAACCCATTAATGCCGAGAATTATGTAATAAGAATTTTTCATAATTTTTCATGCCAAATGACTCTACGATGCTAATAAACAACTGAAACACTCAAAACGAAAATTTACTTGAAAATATGAAAAATACAGCTTGGGAACATATGTGCCCATTCGGCAATAAAATAATGATTTTAGATACAATTGAAATAAACATATAAATATAGTCCTTTATTAGCTCTATGCATACAGACTCCTTTTTATTTCTCAAAAGCTAACTATAGTAGAGTATCTATGGCTTAGTGGGTACTTTTCCATGCATTCAGGATGCGAGGGGACCTTGCACATCTTGCATATGTGAGGTGTTCTGCCATGACACTGCTTGCATCTGCTGCGTGTAGCTCTTCTCTAGCAGTTCAATGACCTTTTCCGTTGTACCGCACACTATCTTCTGCACTACCACTACTGTATTTAGGACCTATTGCCTTCCTGGTGGTTCCAAAGGTCTTCATTGTAGCTATAACTAAGTTCCTGGAAATGTCTAGTAGACTCATGTCTGCAGGTATTCGTCTGCAATGACACCAAGAATTTACCACTTGAGCATTTATGCTCCGATACTCTCCGTTAAATGGCCGATGCATTCCAAATACTCTCATTTACCACTTGTTGTTCTTCTGTTTGCATATCACAATCTCCAACACTATCAATAATTTTTGTTTCGTCTCTGTGCCAAACTACCTTCTATTTTTGGAGTTTCTTCTGCCTCTGCTGAACATAAGGAGACGGCATTTGATCCTCTCTTTTGTCAGTAAGTACTTCGGAAAGTAAGATTCTTCTTGGTAAATGATTGGGATTGCATGTAGCTTCAGTGTCAGAGGAATCAGAGTTGCAGTTAGTATCAGGAGTTGCTTCTTCAATGGGAGGCTCGACTGCAACATTGATTTCAAAACCACTATCATCATCAGTTTCTTCCTGAAGTATTTGTCGCACGTTGTCCAGAATCAACCTAAAAAACATCTAATAACATTATTTCAAAATTTGAAAATATCACTCAAATCACTTCTTGCAATATTACCCATAATGCGTTACATTGATTTTTTAGTTGCTGATAATTCATTATAAAGCTCATCTGGATTTATGAAAACAGATAAAAAGACCAATATTATCATAAATAGCTTTCTAAATATATATTTTGGAGTTACAGAATGGCAAACACCTGTTAATTTCTCAATAAAATATCGTAAGACACAACGGGAAAGCAATTAAAATAAATCTATGCACATCATAGAACAGAAAGTGCCACAATTTTCATCTAGAGCAAAATCTTTATTTTATATCCTAACGGGCACATTTGTTCCCGACATTTACATTTTATTATATGCATTCAATATTATCAACATTATTAATCATCTGTGATTTAAATGTTATTGGTGCATTATCCAGCTACAAATTCCTATCATTGGATGTAGTAAAATGTTTTCTGTAATTTAGTTACATACGTTTTTCTCAGGCGTGGTGGAGCCATGTTACATACACTTTTTTCTCGGTCAAGGTCAGCCAGCTACTGCGCATGCATGCATGGTGACAGAGAATCAAAGCACGTTCCGTATGTGTTCTGAACCTTCAGAGTACACACCTTATCAACGAAACAGAGCTAAATGCAATGTCTTTACTTTTACAGCCAATTTAATTAGCTGGGCACAAATGTTCCCGTTCGGCGTTAATGGGTTAAGATTAAGGATAACCATCCAAATTAGTGTGGTTATTACATCATGTTCAAGTTTTTGACTTGCATTTAATATTTACCCTTTGTGAATTAGAACAATGTTCAATGATTTGTTTATAGAGGATCATTAAAATTTATCATCTTTTACATCTAGGTAAATAAAGTACTGTTTCAAAACACAGAGGAGTGAGGAGGGATTAATAAGTTGAAAATAATTGCATGTTCTTCATTAAGAATGATCCCCAAAGTTGCATTTCAGGAGCTTAGGTTAGCAGTTGTTACCAATGCACACGCCTCAAGAGCTTCAGGGCATCCACTCCTTATCAATTGAAAATTGATGTCCTACCTGCACAAATAAATAAATTGTTTTTAAAAAATAGAATATAATTGGCAAGATGCTCTAGCTACTGTATACAGAGCATTAACACATTGAGTGCAGCACAACCCACTGTTGGGTTGCTGGTTTTTTTTCCAGACAAAGTCTGCAGTTTAGTTTTTTAATTTTGTTACCTGGCAAAAGTGTATCCTGTTGATATTTCCTTATTAAATTGCAAATAGTACAAAAAAAATACAAATTTAATTTTTGCACTGGAACCTACAAATTTACACATAAATATTGAAATAGAGGCCTTTTTGTCCACGGAATTGGCCGTTTTCAGGCCGCCAAGCAACCCTGGTGGTTCGTGCTTCCCTCAACGTAATACGATACCAAGGGATGGCAAGGCTAGTTGCTGCATATTTCTAGACATTGGGCAGTTTAGCATAAAATATTTTGAGATTAGCCTTAAAATTTCCTTTCAAGCACATGTGGTAGGTTCTACCCTCCAGGACAAAGAACTACCAAGAAGTTTACACGAGCCTGTGCATTAGTTCTCATAGCTTATCTCCATGAAGACAGCCGTTTTTTAGCGCATTTTCTCATTTATGGAAAAAAGGCACTATTGTGCTCGTCATGTCCATCCGTCCGTCTGTCTGTCCGTCCGTGACCACGTTTTCGTCGCCAAGAAAATGCGCTTTGTCACTCACTGCAGTGAGTACTGATTTATATTTTTTCAGGGATGTTGATAGCTGGTCCCCTGATCCCTGGGTTCCATGGTACCAGCACTCCATGCTGATAAGATATGCCTTGTTTTAGGTCCAAAGTCCCTGTAGCATGGATAAAGTTTGCCCAAGACATCTGTTAGAACACTAGTTTGGTCCACCATGGCCTTTTTCAGTGCCCGAATGGTTGTTGTGGCCATTTCTGAATTGCTCCACAGTTCACTATAGGCTCAGGATGAGATTTTAGCCCAGACAAAAAAGAAATGAGATGACTATTCAAGAAATCTTGACAAAAGATGAAGTGGATTAAGATGTTGCCTTGGCTGATGAGATCTGACAAATACATGGGAGAGATGACTGTCACCTGCATGCTTGCAAAGATTTGCTAGGAATGGACTCTTTTACTCGGACCCAGAGCAGGTGCAGGGAAGATTGTTCTTTATAGTCATTAAATGCTCAAGAAAGACAGAGGGCTGAGCTCCAAAACTACTGCCTCTGATTTAAGAATTGATAATGAATTCAAACTTTGTTCAATTAAAGTAATTTAGTTAGAATTCAAATTGGGAGTTCAGTCAGCAATGATTTATGGATCTGCTGATGCTTTTAAAATAACAAAGTGAACGTAGGAAGTTACTGTCAGTTTTCTGTACAGGTACTTAATTTGATATATTTTATTATTGCATTAGCTATTTCTTACTCTCTATTCCTCATTTAGGCTCATTTTAAATTCATTGTTTTTTTTTTAATCTGTTGAGTCAAATTTGATCCTAAATTTTTTATAATTTGCTTTCAAACTTATTTGCAGCTACATAACCGCAGGATGGATAGTAGAAGCCATGGCGTGCGCCAATGCCATCAACCACTGGCGCAGGGTGAAGCAGCTTAAAAAGGTGAACAACCTTAAAGGGTGCTTGTTGTAGTTTGGCTTGCTTTCACATTTTATAGGAGTTACTTCGTGTAAAGTAAGTAAACCCTAACTATTTTTCAAGTAAGAGGCTGGCATTTAGTTTCTGCATGCACAGTAGGAGCTGTTTTGCTGTGTTCTCGACAATTCTCCTCAAAAAAATCATTTCTACATTATGGCGCCCTTCTTTTAGACCAGCAGATTTGCAAGCAAACAAGTCTAGTGTTAATTCCAACAAGATTGTGCTACAAATAAAATTTGACTTTAAATATTGATTTAAAAGGTTTTTAATATTTTCTCTCATCATGGACTTGAATCTATTACTGAACATTTTTCCAAATTTACAACCTGCCAGTTATATGAGTATTTACTGCCAGTACTAAATGAATTATGAATGTGTCTTATTTTTTTATGTAAAGAATTGTAATTTCTGTCATTGATGCTCTTGTATCAAAGTCACCAATGTTTCTTGACTTCACATTTAATTCGTTTCTTAATACATACAATTTTATCAATATCATATAGCTTTAGGGCAGAGATGTTCTTATTGATAAGACTTTACGGTTTTTTCCTTTTCGCTTGAGATATTTGATTATAAAAATCTTACTATTTTTTTACTGGCAGCGCGGACACGTACCAGACGAGCTTGTGAATCGCACGCTCGAGAACGCCGCTGAAGGAAGCAGGAACGCAGCTTTATTGGCTGGCACTGGCAGTGATGAGCCTGCAAACGTCCACTCTGCCGCAGCAAAGTCCAGCAGCGCTGGCGGTGATACTAGTGATGCTAGTGATGCTGCCTCTTCTCTTGCTGCTGCTGCTGCTAATGAAACAGATGATTCTGATGATATTAACGTTGAAACAACCGAGGCCAGTGAGATGATTACTACGTCATCTGATTCGCCGTCGTCTGAAGACCACGAGGAGGAAGAAACTCCCCTCATCCACGGTGTTGTCATAGAGAGAACTGTGGGCCAGTATTATGCCATCCAAGAACGGGTCGAAATGGGAGAAATGGCAAAACTTTTCTATTCAAAATGTGAGGCTGGACTACTTTACATATATGTACCTATATGGTTAAGCGTGTTCACGGGTGATCAGTCACTTGTGTCTCTTAGTCTCGTGTTTAAAAACTTATGACCTTGGCGTGTGGTAGATTCAGAATTAAAGAGAATCTCGGAAGTCTTATGCAAATGAATTAAAATCTTTGTTTTGACGATGCATCTTATTTGTAGTACATAACTCGATTCTGTATGGCCAAATTCCGGATTTTATGGGTAATTATCTACAATAATGTTTTGCTTATTTCAGGGTGGGTGCAGGTTTTCTGCGTTGTTTTGTGCATTTACTTGTATGGAGATCTCGCCATCTATGAAGCGGCCGTCGCCAAGTCCGTTCGTGATATGGTATGGTTAGTAAACATAGGCTTGAACTGGCTTTGAAAGTAAGAAATACTCAGTGCTCTTTGACTGTTCGAACTCGGCTCATTCTTATTTAAAATTGTTGTTTTCAAGATTATTATTAACGTTAGCTGTCTCTTTCTTCCTGAAGCTTATTTACACTGTCTTTTATTCGTACCTCACTGATATTAGTTCAAGTCATTAATGTAAACATTTGTCTTTTAGTCGTCACTCTGGACAAATAAGTTCAGCAACATGATGAAAGTGTAAGGTTAGTTGTTAAAAGAAGCACTCGTCAATTCTTCCGAAAGTCCTATGTTCATTATATATTTATTCTTTGCCAATTGCATAATTTGTAAGCGATTATTATCCTTTGTTACAGCACCTATGTTCCTACGAACTGCTCACAAGCGCTGCATGACAGCGACCCTTGCTTCCCGGACTCCGACTACTCCAGATTCAACGTTTACAGAATATGTGTGGTGGGTCAAACCGTCAAATCCTGACATATCGCTAATATTGTATTTAACCGTAGTATATTATTACTTGCTCTTGGGGTGTTTAATGGAGGTTTAAATACACGATTCAATCGAGCTTAGACGTTTTGCCTGTGCTACGAACCTTATCATTTACCTCAATTACCTGTATTTAAATAACGGTGCGATTACTACATAGAAGTTTGACATAGATATATGTCAAATTTCTAGTCTAGCATCCGCGGAATTTTTAATTTCTTGGGGATATTGAATGTGATTATTGCACTCTCTGATTGGTTCTTGACATTTAAATTTTTCTGCATTGAAATTTATGCTCGTGACAAGAAGTGGGGGCAACAAGCCAACAACATTGTTTCCATTGACTAACTATTCACTTGTTTGTTGCAGTGTTGTTTCGTGGGCGTCATGGGTCCATTCGTGTTCTTGAACTTGACCAAGACGAAGTACATGCAAATTGTGACCTCCATCATTCGCTGGATTGGTAAGTGAATTGTTACTAAGTTTAGCTTAGGTCGTAATTGATCTTCAATGCTTTACTCGAGGAGCTCGGAGTCAAAGATCGATTTGTTTGCTTGGTATTGTACGGACTTTGTGTTTAATATGCATGTGCTCTCTACTATTGTTTTATATACAGAATGATGGCTGATTTTGTGAGGATTTATTTCCGATCATCGATGCTGACAAATTACTGGCAGGCAGTGACAAAATATAGCATCGGGCTTATCTGATAATCCAAGATAACAAATAACACAGGCCTTTCCAAAATTTTCATGCATTCTCCATGTTTTAGGGCTTTTTGAATCCGAAAATATATTTTTTGTCTATGACGTCACACTTGTCGGTAATTTATATTGCAGTATCCAGGGAGGCAATAATTCAAAATGAATAAACATCGAATGACAAATTTTATTATTTACTGTAAAGTTTTTATCGATATAATATTGAAAAGCAGTCAGCCACCATTGTAATAATCCAACTTGGTGACAAACGTGGAATTGAGCATCCATGATAGTCCAAGATGACTGTTACTCCTATGAAAAATATTTTTTTTTCAAGTTTGTTACATGTATGTTATTTAGTCTTGATATTATTTAAGTATGGAATTTTTCATTAACTTGTTATATGCTAAACGAACTGGTCATACGCAGGAATTCCAGTAATTTTATCCGTTAATTTCCTCCCGTGAGTTACATCCTATAGAAAATTGAAAAAGCCTTCCTGTGCAACTGGACATTAGGAACTTCAAGTCATACCCGCATTATCTAATTCTTGATTATAAACGAAATGGTCCGATGGCCATTTTCGCACGGCGACCAACTCATGTCACTATATTTTCTGCCTGATATTTGCAAGTAATGCATGTCAATATCGCTATGTCACTATCGCTATGTCTCCACAGCTATGATAGTGATGATCGTCTGGGCGGTGGCGGTGATAGTAAAGGGCAACACTCACGTGAGCCCCGCGGTGGCGCGGTGGCAGAACCTGCCTGACCTGTTCGGGGTGTGCGTCTACAGCTTCATGTGCCACCACTCGTTGCCATCACTCGTCACGCCCATCGCTGTCAAGACGCATCTTTATAAGGTTACTACTGTGTCCTGACTCATCTTTATAAGGTTACTACTGTGTCCTGACTCATCTTTATAAGGTTACTGCTGTGTCCTGACTCACCTTTATAAGGTTACTGCTGTGTCCTGACTCGCTCTTACGAGGTAATTTCCCTGCCAAAACTCGGCTTTATGAAGGCACTTCCCTGTCCAGACGGACCTTTAAATTGGATTTCCCTGTCCAGACTGACCATTAAAGTGAACTTCTCTGTCTAGACGGGCCTTTAAAAGGGACTTCCCTGTCCAAACGGGCCTTTAAAGGGGATTTCCATGTCCAGACGGACCTTTAATGGGGACTTCCCTGTAAAAACGGGCCTTTAAAGGGGACTCGTTATCAGTATGCATTAAAAACGAGTTTGTCTCATCCTGTTGCTTGGAATTACACACGAACCTATTGACACTAACCATGTATATGTTCCAGTTGCTTGCCGCCGATTACATCCTGATCTTGCTGTTCTATCTACTCCTTGCATTCACGGGCATTTTTGCGTTCCCTAACATTGAAGATCTCTACACCATCAACTTCCAGCCTGACCCTTGCAAGCATGGACAACCAGTCTCCTTCGTCTACATAGTCAGGGTGAGTCAACCTCGCTCTCTGCGTGAATGAAGTTAACCTGGTGAAGATGTCTGGGGCAGCAACTCTACTTTGCAATCTTGCTTGCGTTGCTCAACAGCAGGTAATGAACTCCGTCAACAGGTATAATGAACTCGGCAAATGCAGCTTTGTAGTAAAATATTGCGGTCTTCTGTGAACGGTGAATTTTGGTTGTCAAATCTCGCTGTAGTTGTTGTTCGTAGAGACGAAATTTACGCCACGCCGTGAGGTGTCTCAGACGGTGGACGGGAGTGGGAGACTGGTAGACAGATGGGTTATATACGAAGGGAGTGTAGGCTAGAAGTACGGCAGACTGTACACGGCAGTCGTATAGCCAGAGGATGGAAGGGGCCGAGAGAATTGGATGGCCAAAGGAAAAGGTGCTGTGTAGGCTAGAAGGTTTTTGCGCACTTGGGGCCGCTGGCACTTGATTTATGCCCTACCCTGAATAAGTATAATACTACATGACGGCAGCAGAAGCTCGAGTTCTACCGCAAATGCGCCGGCGTAGGATGGTAGGGGTCGTGGTAACGTCTTTTCTGAGGAGGTCGTGCTGTTGTACCAACGCAGCGGGGTTGGGATGGCTTGAAGCGAAACCTGACAGAATTTTTCACAACGATAAACGCTCAATAAGTCCATTTTGAAATTTTATGACACTCCATAGTCTTAAGAAGATTTGTGAGCCGCGAACATATAACAATCAGCATCATTTTGTTGATATTTTCATTAGTTTCGATTTATTGTTGAGAATTTTGTCGTTTATGATCGTCGAGTATGGCTACTTGGTAATTCTGATTTTTTCATGCCTACAGGTATTTTTATTGATGTTTCCGGTGTTTACGCTCAGCACAAACTTCCCCATCATCGCCATCACTCTGCGCAATAATCTTAAAGGTATTGCTAGTTATACTTCAAACTAATAAGGTCTATTTAAAATATCGTATCTTTTTTTCACACTGCTTCTTAATTTTCACTCGATACAGTACTATAAAACCTGTCAAGACTATCAGAAGTTCATGTTTACCAAAGACTGTTAATGTTGACTACATCTACTTGGAAGCGCATCTTGGAAATGTTACAGAAATTTTTTTTGGGGTTTCAAGAATCCTCAATGAAAATGAAATACATATACTGCCCATTTTCCTTAATTTGTTGTTGTAAAGCAGCATTAAACTTCTTATTAAAATCGCAAATCCAGTAATTGACAAAAATCTTCAATCTTGTAAGCCAGATTTTATTAACTTGTCAATCAAATAAGCTGCAAGCACTCGCCGGTACGCGTGAAGATATCGATGCCCGTAACGTGACATCAGAGTTTATAAAAACCATTTATGGAAGTCTATTTGATTTCCGGGTTATCATGCATTCAGTTCTCGTTAGCTATATTCACTAGAAGTGCGATCTTAAATTTGAGTTTCCTGCCATGACACGAGATAATATATAAAGGCAGGAGAGCTTCAATAGGGTCGTTGAAAGCTTGAATTGCAGTGTTTCAATTGTTTACGCCCAGGGCTGATGCTACGAGAGACGCGGCGCTACGGCTTCTTCACAACGCGGCTATCATTCCCGCTACTGGCCACGATCCCACCCACAGTCGTGGCGCTCATCACGTGTAACGTCGAGCTTCTCGTCGGCATTACCGGGGCCTTCGCTGGCTCCATCATACAGGTGCTGCACTGCAAATATTATGAATTGGGCTTGTGTTACTCATAACATTTATGTGGAGGGCTTTTTGTCTTTACGTGAGGTTTATTTTGCTCACATGTTCCAAGGACGATTTTTGCAAATTTTAGTATAGAGTTTAAATAAGCCTTAGATGAATCTTGATCGAGCTCGTCTTAAATCGACAAGTAATAAAATCGAGGATATAATAAAAACTTGATGTTTCGTATATAATCTGCATAATTTAGCTAAACTGTCCATTAAATGTGCTGTATATACTTACATGAAGGAACATCTTTCAGTACGTTATACCGGCTACTATGGTGCACAGCGCTCGGGTAGAGACGCTTCAGAAAATAGGCTTGGGCGTCCGCAACCCATTCGTGTCGCCCTTCCAATCAGCGTTCTGGCGCTACCTCATCTGTGTCTGGGCGCTGCTCTGCTGGGTATTCGTAGCCGTCTACCTCATACGGACTGAAAGCTGACCTCCTTGACCCTCCTTTAGCTTACGAAGGAAGAATGTGATCTAACTTACGCCCTTCCATCTTGAACTGCTCGGTCAATGGTGGAGTTGCAGTATCTTTGTATATATATTATCTGTGTGACAATTAAATTGATATATAGGTCCTGCCTATTTAAGTGCATAAAATAATTTACCGAGATGCTTCGTTGAATTTGTCTGATTCTCCGAGTGTTTGTTTGGCTGTGAACTCCGATGCAGGCGCGTTGTGCTCGTCGACTTCCTCGGGTTGTCAGAGACGCTCCGAGGGAACTTGAAACGTCTGTTCTTCTGTTCCTAGAGATTGTGAATTTTATTTCATCACTTCATCAAGCTTTGATGTAGTAAATTTGATTCGTGAATTCAACTTATACATTCCAGCGAGTTATATTTGCGTCTACATGTCTACCACTGCCTGAAAAATATCTCCTACGTAGCCTGAGGTATTCAAGCCGCATTTACTATTTATCTTGAGCTGGATTAGCGCTGGCTTTCTTCCATTCCATTTTAAGAGAGCTAAGTTCCTATTTTGGTCGTAATGTGTGTTTCGTCCTTATCTATAAGTTCATTTTAATTATTGATGTGTAGCCGGTTTTAATTGCATGATGGGTTTATCACGCATTTATCGTTTGAATAAATTACTTCACCGAGGTTATACCAGCTAGTGCCAATGCGGGGTCAGTTTTTTTTACTTTCTAACCCCAGAACTTGGATAGTTCTTGCTGTGATATTGCACTAAAGAAATTGAGGTTACGTTGTGTAAGGTGGACTGACGGCAGAAGTCGTCGTCTGATTTGTCTCGAATAAAATTTTTAGAAACCTTTCAAATTTGTTGGAGGATAATTTTGTTGCTCGAGGATACGTTCAATGATTGACAAGATCTTGAGACCGAAGTGAAGTACGAACGAGTTCTCATAAAAAAAAACGCGCACAAAAATATTCTACCTCACGTGTTGAGTAACATGCGGCAGTAGAAACCAGCTTGTTTGTTTTGCCAGGGTAGATGGCGTTATGAAGGATATAATGAACGAGCTTATATTTAATAGTAATTAAAAGTACGTAAATTCGACAATTTAGTCCCATTATTCGTCATATTGTATAGCGCGTTGATTGACAGTCGCCGATGCTCCAGAAAAGGTGGGGGCGATTAATACACGGGGGCGATTAATTGAGTCGACTACAGTTTTGCAGACTGATAGCCTATCCTATACACGAGGAGAGCGATTTCAGTACAGTGCGCTAGTGCTACGTTGGGTGTTTTCGAGTAAGGTGTTTGCGTGGTGGAGGCAAGCGAGAGCTGTGCGCGCTACAGTGGGTAAGTGAGAGCGACGCAGCTATGCTCAGTATGAAGGCAGTTACTGGGCACACACGACTGCTTCAAAACCACTAAAGTTCCTCTGCGTGCAATGCACCAGCTAGTTACCTCTTGATTAAGACGTCAATCATCACAAATTTTAGTTGCGTCGACTAGTTGACGCAACTATTCGCCTCGTGTACAAGCACCTTAATACATGGGAAGCAAATCGCAGTCATAGAATTTCTTGTTGGAATCAGACGCATACCATTAAAATAAAATGCAATCGTTTATCTAATCGTGCGGTCTGGAGTGTTTGTCAATAATCTAGGTTTTACATTTAGAACATTACTTATATTTTTCTATTCAATACTATCTGCAATGTAACTCTTAATGCTCTCAATGATATTAAGAACTAGTCGCTGAAGTAGTGAAACTGCTGTGCAAATATATATTATCAAATTGTTGGCAACGCACAACCTCAAATTAACCTGACACGAATAAACAAGTATCGCGTCAGGACGATATTACAATTTACTGAGCTGTGGCATGTGTTATTCCATTCCTTATTAATGTCAGGGTTCAGATTATTCATATCGCAAGTTTATTTTTATTACGACCTGTAAAGATACCCTATTTCATCGTGTTAATCTCGAAGGTTCCTTAGTACGGACAGTTAACACTCTTGTCATACGTGTACATTAGAGACTAACATTTATGTTCGTGAGAGATGATAAATAATTGAAATTGAGTGATTTACCGCCTAAAAATAATCGCCGTCCTATGAAAAGTAATCAATATGACTCCCTAGAAATGGTCAAACTTGGCCAAATTTTCCGATTCTTTCGTTTGAGCCCACAACCTATACACGTTTATATCTCGGATTATATCTTTATATATCTCTGATTATTATATCTTTATCTGATTATATCTTTATCTGATTATATCTTTATCTCGGTAGCCGTTCAATTATTTACTTTTGTAATATTGGAGAAAGAAACGAGTTGTTAAGAGTCCCGAGGAGCCGGCGTCATGCTCTTGCTACAGCTTGGTCGTGGCGAGGCTTCAGCTGGAAGAGGAAAGGACTTGCATTAGGAGTGAGGAGGACGCATGAAGCCGTTCTTTCGGGTTGGGATGATAATAGTAATATGACATAACGATTAGTGTTCCAAATAAACCCAGGAATAACCAGCATACGATTTTAAAGCAAGAAGTTAGTTGATGAATGTTGGAAAGAAATCATTCAGGTCAATGACTAAATCAACTACGATCAATTATTTTCAGTTTTAATTTCTTAAAAATACAGATATCTGCCGACCTATAAATCAGATTATGTTGACATAGTTGACTCAATCTATATTAGACGATTAATCACTTGACGTTTTGACGTATGAAGTTGGCGTAGCTGGCGACGTTGACGTAGACGCCCGGCACGTTCTCCTGGCCGCAGCCGACGCCCCAGGCAACGAGGCCGGCCACCGTCCAGCCGCCGTTGCCTTGACCGCACACCATCGGGGAGCCTCCGTCGCCCTGCGCACAAAATTATTCATGAACAGGAGTAGGGGGCGAAAAGTGCGTCGATTTTTTTGACAAGCCATTGGCGCAGTCAGATGGGTAATACTGACCCGTCCACTTCTAGGAGTGTTGCGTCAGAGCTATTGTCTTCATGCGTAATGAGTTATATTAAGTATAAGATTAAACGACATCTTTGACGTCAGGTCACCTCGGAAACTATTAACTGTATTAGCAGTGAAGAACAAAAGAGGGAGAGAGATAAGATAATCGAGATTCAAATGCGTGGTTTTGACTGACTCACATCGGTCACATGGCATGCCATAGACTCGCCCACACATGTAAGGCAAGCCATGGATAGACAAGAACACGCGCACACTTCTGTTGTGCTCACCTAACAAGAGTCTTCGCGCTCATCTGACAAAGAGTCTTGATCGAACTCACCTGACAAGAGTCTACCACGCTCACCTCACAAGTCTTTATTACGCTCACCTGACAAGAGTCTTTATAGAATAGAAGTGTCGGCACTGAAGAAATATGCCCATTGACTGTTGCAGATGTTTGAATTTTTCGTGACTTGATTCAGAAGGGATCCGGCCTTTGGAACCCGATCTTTGAGACAATTGATTGAGATAGCTCTGGACATATTGCCCCCGATTGATTGAGATAGCTCTGGACATATTGCCCCCGATTGATTGAGATAGCTGCTGGACATATTGCCTGGTCTGTAATTTGCTAGGCATTTTAAGACTGAACATATGCTCCTGCATAGCTTCGTCTAGTCTGTTCTTGAAGGCGTTCGTACTCGGAGCGTCAACGATGCTATCAGGGAGGCTGTTCCACATGTCGGTGATTCGAAGCGAGAAGAAATGTTGTCGCATGGATGTGTTACAACGCAGTTTTTTTAGTTTATAGCTGTGGCCCCTGGTGTTGGTTCTTGTTTCAGATTCTAGTAATCCTTCTGGGACCTTGTACAAGCGATGAAGAGCTCACCTGACAAGAGTCTTTACCGCGCTCACCTGACAAGATTCTTTACAGTGCTCACCTGACAAGAGTCTTTACCGCGCTCACCTGACAAGAGTCTTTACAGTGCTCACCAGACAAGAATCTTTATCGTGCTCACCTGACAAGTCTTTACAGTGCTCACCAGACAAGAGTCTTTACCGCGCTCACCTGACAAGAATCTTTACAGTACTCACCAGACAAGAGTCTTTACAGCGCTCACCTGACAAGAATCTTTACCGCGCTCACCTGACAAGAGTCTTTACCGCGCTCACCTGACAAGAGTCTTTACCGCGCTCACCTGACAAGAGTCTACCGCGCTCACCTGACAAGAGTCTTTACAGTGCTCACCAGACAAGAGTCTTTACCGTGCTCATCGGACAAGAATCTTTACCGCGCTCACCTGATAAGAGTCTTTACAGTGCTCACCAGACAAGAGTCTTTACCGCGCTCACCTGACAAGAGTCTTTACAGTGCTCACCAGACAATAGTCTTTACAGTGCTCACCAGACAATAGTCTTTACAGTGCTCACCAGACAAGAGTCTTTACAGTGCTCACCAGACAAGAGTCTTTATCGCGCTCACCTGACAAGAGTCTTTACCGCGCTCACCTGACAAGAGTCTTTACAGTGCTCACCAGACAAAAGTCTTTACCGCGCTCACCTGACAAGAGTCTTTACCGCGCTCACCTGACAAGAGTCTTTACCGCGCTCACCTGACAAGAGTCTTTACCGCGCTCACCAGACAAGAGTCTTTACAGTGCTCACCTGACATGAGTCTTTACAGTGCTCACCAGACAAGAATCTTTATCGCGCTCACCTGACAAGAGTCTTTACAGTGCTCACTAGAAAAGAGTCTTTACCGCGCTCACCAGACAAGAGTTTACAGTGCTCACCTGACAAGAGTCTTTACCGCGCTATCTTTATCGCGCTCACCTGACAAGAGTCTTTATCGCGCTCGCCGCCGGCGCACACGAAGGAGCGCTTGTCTAGTCTGAAGCTGGGGCCGAGCCTGGTGTTCTTCAGGAGGCTCTCGCACCTGGAGGAGTCCAGCACGGGCACATCGACCTCCTGCAGCAGCTGCTGGAAACTGCCGGGTCCGAAGGCGTCCTTACCCCAGCCCGTCACGAAACATCTGGCAGCGAAGAACGCGATTAAAAATGAATTCACTTAGCAGAATTTGGTTCTAAAACAACACATTGGTTTAATTATTGTAAAGCGCACACACGATTTCGCAGCCGCTACACTTTGCATTGATCAGGAAACAAAATAGTAAATACCTCGATACTTTATGAGAATCAGATATGATTGAGCACACGAGATGACATTCATAACTCCATGTCACCTCTGTCCAGCGAAGGACTGTCCAGGGCTGGGCAGACAAGCGGGGGTGATGTGCCTGTACTGCTGCCGGTTGACGGGCTGCGCCAGACGCAGCAGCGCCACGTCGTTGGCCAGCGTCTGGGGGTTGTAGTTCGGGTGCACGATGACGTTAGCGACTGGCGACGCGAACGGTGGGAACTGAGGGATGTCGTTGGCTTGGCTTACGTCGTAGTCCCCGAGGCGAACTTCCAGTCCCCTGCAGCGAGTTCGGCATTATAACCTATTCAATCTTATGAATCTTCTTTTATTTGCACGTCCTTTATACACGAAAATAAACGCGATGGTCGTGGAAAACTTAGCATGCTTGACAATTTACTGCATTGCTTAGCACTTAATTAATTAATTAATTTCGAGAAAAAAAAAAACTTGATATTAAAAGTTACGATTACTTGTTCTACAAATCGATTTCTACCTCAAAGTCCGCGCACAACCGAATATTTATATAAATAATCTGAAGCGCCCACCAGCTGAAGACTCAAAGTTAGTTAATGCACCGTGAACAGCTTTAAGAAGACTCCTCATTAGATTCTGTACTGCGAAGCACAATAACTAAATAAATACCCACCTAATTGCTGTTTAAATAGCAATGTTTAACGAATACGCACTGAGTTTGCGCGAGTTTATGCGCTGTTGTGAGCACCCAGCCGTTGTCGATGAGCACGCCTCCCGAGACGTAGGACTGTCCGGGCCCCAACACCACAGCCATCCACGGGTACTCGCCGAAATCCGCCTGGCGAAATTATTTCTCGTTATTCGATGCAAAGATTTTCAACCAAAAGAAGGCTGGTCAAAGCAGTGGATAACTAAATTCCCTCAAATAAGAGGTATTTTCATTGAGTTCAATTTGAGTACATAATAGGTACTAATTCGGATGCATAGGAGAATGTCATTATCACGTCTCACGTCTGTAATCAACTGTTTTGGTCCTGGAAAATACGTACCAAATTTGACAGCTAGGGGTTAGGTATGAACAAAAATTAAAATACATTGAAAACACGAATGCCTTTGACGAACTTGCGATTTAAGCAGACGAATGATATAAGTGCTTAAATATTCTGCTTCGAGTACAAGCTTACCGTGGGTGAAATTGCAGCCGGCAGTCCGAAGCTCTGCCGTGAGCCGCAGAAGGCAGAGAGCGCTCCACTCTGACCAGGGAAGCCTCCTTGTCCGGGGAAGTCGGGATTTCCCCCCGGAAATCCTCCGTTGTTGGGGCAGCAAACCCGCTGATCTTCGTTACAGCCGTTCGCGCCTCCCCCTCCCGGTAAACGCGATCCCGGAGACCCAGGCTAATAAATACCGGAAATGGTGAGTATTATTGAGGCTCGTTTTTTCTGCAGCTGTGGGAGGTATTCGATCCGCTATACCCTGAATAGTGTTGGTTATTTTGAATTCATTTTATATTACAAGGTTAATAGCGTGTGTGCAAACGTCCTGAGCGACAGTATTGTATACAATTTCCCACATATAAAAACCAAGCGCTTATATACAATTAAAGACAGGATGTGGCTCGACTACAAGACAGGGTTGAATAGCGTGCTAGCGAGTTTGTTTATATATTTTATCAGCCGAGGGTATCGTGAGGGCCAACCAAGGGAGACTTAAAACTTTCGTTAAGTGCACGATGTCTTTTCAGTAGGCCTATGTTTCTAAATTTTATTTGTATTATAATGAAGTCATGAAACGATGCATAGAAGCTAAAATATTCAGTCGTGATTGTCAAAACTTTAATTAGCAGCATAAAACTAAAGTTTCCGTTGAATTCTAAAAGTGTAGTTAAATGGAAGTTCCATGCGTAACGCGGGTTTAACCGATCTTCCTTTAATTCAAATTACTTACGCTCAAAAAATATTCTAGGTGTGGTAGTGTACCCTAGTGAGTAGTGACGCATGACTACACTCAACCTAGTGACACTCACCCTAGCAGCACTCACCCTATTAATGATCCTGGTGACGAGGTCGAGGTTCTCAGGTCGGAGGTTCGTACAGACTTGGTTGACGGGTTGACACCAGCAGCCTGTGTCGCGCCCTGGGAACCCGCCTGGGAACTGGCTACCAATGCCCACCACCGGGATACCACCTGCCCACACACACGTGACACGCATCGAATATTTACTATAGAAATATAATCTCTCAGTAATGTTACTGATCCTTATAATTAACATTATTACAAATAATAGACAATAGATGGAATAGCCTTAAGTTGTAACGCGAAAGCTGTATGGTTTAGTATGATTGAGAAGTCCAAACCTGATTAAACCTAACTAGTGGTTCACGAATGAACCGGACCTGTGAACATACCTTGGAAGACACTAAAGCTCAGTTAACTTCCAAACCTAAAGTAATATATGCACAAAATCCAGCCCTCAATGTATGTCGCCTGAATTGTACTGGTACAACGATGACAATGAAGCAGTTTGTGGAAACGATATCATGTACGAGATCTTTTTACTTGATGTCGCTAGATCTTAGGGGCAAACTGTGAAGCAGTTGCTGCTTGAGAAACTTTCTTAGCAACATTCATCTTTCTCTGAAAACTTACTTAACGTAATTTTAGCTGGTTATAATTACCAGCCTTATCATCACTATATAAAAAAAAACAAATTTTGCAACTTTGCTTATTGCATTTGATTGACTTTGCAAAGTCACTAATTTATTTATTAGTACTTTTCAAAATAAAAATACAGCCATGATCCCAGACCTGGCACGGGAGGAACGCCGATCTGGTTGGCGATTAGACCGAGCCGCGTGTCCTGATCGTTGTTGGGGGCGGGCTGCTGGCCCGCTGCCTGCCCTACAACCGTCAGCACCACCAGCAACGCGATCAGCGTCACTGACCTGAGGTCATCACAACACACATTTCACAGAGCATAATTTCAAACGCGAGAAAAAATTTTAATAGTCCTCTAAAAAGAACAATAAAATAGGAAGCTCAGACAACGCGTGGTAACGAAAAAAAAAACTGTAACGCCCAGTAGAGCACACATCGGAATGTTAACTTATTTCACTAATTGAAACTGAACACGACAACACAACTCTGTTCCCAGTGTTTGCAATTGGCATCAAATGCGCGAATCAATATTACGTCAACAGTTATGAGAGCCTTTATGGTAGATTCAATGATAACTGGAATGAAGTATGTGTAAAATTGATCTAACTTCGCGAGTGCTTCCTACTTTAAATTTGAAAATTGAAATATGAAATTCCAATTCTTGCGAATCTTTATCGGCCGGGGTGATGGCACCGCTAGGTTTGCAGCGATGCTCGGATAACCTTCACGCTTCCGTGGTTCAGGAAATAAACAAAAAATGTACGCGAGACTTGAAATGCTCACAATGTCGTCCGCAGTGTCGGAGACGATCACAGGATGCAATCCAACCACGTCAGGCCATTCGCAGACGTGGACCGAGTTGACGCACGTCAGACGAGTTAAAATGATCACGGTGCGTTACGACCGCCACATCGAGAATACCCATTCAATTAGGTTTTTGCTAAAACTAAAAAATAGATATTGTTAGAAAAATTTGCGTCTTGTCAACTTTATAAAGATCGTGGTCTCGGCAATGACTTATAGTTTAGTTATACGGGGATTTTGCTAACAGCTGTGAAGCTGACGATATTTTCCCAAAGAAAGTCTACACTTAGTCCCCTATTTTTGATGAACACGTTTGTACACAAAACATTAATATGCATTGATTATACAACGCATGTAATCAATGCCCCTCTATATATGTCACATTATGTCCATATGCCACTCCGCTATTTTCTGTAAGAATTATAAGGACTTGCATTGGAGACTAAACGGCCAAAGCGTCCGTGCTGTGGCCAGCTCATGGCTTACGGCAACTCCTGAGCGGCTCTAAAAAAAATGCGAGCAGGTTTACAAAAATAAGACGATGCAGCGATGCGCAACAGGACTGGAAACAGCGGATGTCTGCAGTTGCCTGGACTAAAGCTCCCTTACAATTTCTCGGAACTGAGATCGTTCTCCAACCTCAGCCGGAAAATAATAAGAAGAGTGTGCTCAGTTCCGCGTGCCTCTAAAGTTTCTAAATACCTTGCTATCTCCTCAAGGATTAAATTTGTTGTACCATTGCGCGGTTCATTCTTGCTGCAGAGACAATACAAAAGGTTCGAGAATTTCCAGAAATTGAATCTGATACGTGGTTTAGAATATAATAAGAAAGAGTTCGTCAAAAATGACCCACGAATCGTTATTAAAACAAAAAAAAATTGACAGGAACAGACGAGCCTTCATGAGAATTTTCCAGCGGTACTTGAATGATCAAAGTGTAGTCTTAATTGGCTGTACACAAGGATATCCACACAGCGCTGCCTGCATGATTAGAATGCAGTGGAAATTGGCTCTGTACAAAATTGTACACAAGACGGGATGCTTGTCAGGCAGAGCCGCAAGCCATAATGCCGACCATTATTGTTGAGCTCTACAAAATGTGTCGGAAATAAATGTCTCCCAAATTATGCTACTTCATTTTACATTAAGATGTATGGATACTTGTTAATTATCAATCTGCAACATTACCGCAATATGTAACAAGTTTAAAATTCAACGCAAAGAAGATACAAATTAAACAATGCAGCGCAATCATTTGTGACAACCTTATAAGAATATTTTAAGAGATTTAACCTAAGTATAATTCCTTCAAACGTGACAATAAGATCAGTTCAATTCAGGTGACGTAGAGTATTTCGCTGCTGCCAAGCAGAGGGGAATACCAATATTCAATCAGCTTCGGATTCCAGCACCTATAACGTGATTCAAATACTCAAGTACGACGCTCAAGGTGAAAGTCCCGAAGTATCCACAAAAAATACAGGGTCTACGGTAGTCTTGCCTAGTCAAAAATGCAAGAATTTTACTAGGCAAGGCTACTATTTTTTAGGAATGCAGAAATTTATGCAGGAATCTTTCTCAACAAAATATGCGAAAAATATAATGTTACGTTAGGGTAGCAAAATTAATAAAAAATTATTTATAAAACGGAAATTTTCACCTAAGAATGTTGACTATAAGGATGCGAATGATCAGTGTTGTTACAAATTGTTTCGATACTACGATTAGTAACATTCGGTGCCATGAAACGATAAGTTAGTTGAGGAGAGACGAAAGAACTTTGATTCCACTGAATAAATCAATGACAGAATTCCCCTAAGAGTAGAACGGGATTTTCCACGACAGCGACGTCACGTTACGCTAAGCCCCAATTATGATCCTGAACGAAGAAAACTTCAATGTCATATAAAAGCTGTCTCTTCACTGGTAGGTACTTTCATGGGGATTTCCCCTAGTCTTCCCAACAGGACGCCAGAAAAAATACTCGACTAAAAGCAGCAGCGGTAGCCACGACGACTGCAGATTGCCACGCATGCGGACACGAAATTGATGTATTAAGAATACTGGGATGTTATCAGAGCAACGCTGCATCGCAGGTAATTTAATCCGAAACAAAACAAAGTGTAACAAGTAAATAATCCCAAATTCATTCCAGTCTTTAAAACGCCCAACAGCGCTCACTCCATCCACTTGTTCATTTATTCATAGTCGGAAACGTATCGACAACTAAATTGACAGCGAGCCCTCCTAGCTCCTACGTCACTACTCCAGGAAATTTAAGTAGATCACGAGATGTGGTCGCGCGATGTACTTGGTGTGCAATGGTTCGAAGATCTTACGTAGTGAAGTTAGCTGCAAGGTCTCTATAAACACGTTCATTCTAATGCGAAACACATCTGACTGCAAGATGTCGGAAGAATTAGAGATTAGGAGTGCATGAACCGAGTATATGTGTACAGCACAGAAGGCGATGTAAAAAATTCATCTGCGAACCACTTTCATTTTGCCAAGCCAATGAATGAACAGATTGACCAGCAGCTCATTCAAGTACATTTCAGGCGTCCTTTATGACGCAATTTTGTAACGGATTGGTTAATACCCTTGTACTTTTAATTCGCTAATCGAATGGGGATGCATAATCAAGATAAAAAATGCAGCTAGCATGTAGTACAAGTCAAAAATAAATAATTATCGAATAGAATCGATTTTAAAAATTGTATCTACTTATAAATAAATGTGTGTTTTAAAATCTGTAATTCTGACATTCCAATCCGGTCAGGAAGATAAAAAATATCGCTTAGTGTTCTCGAAAATTTCACTCGACATTGAAGGGAACTTATAGACCGTGACTATTGAAATCATGCAGAAAGTTACAGTCCAACGAGACGCTGAGACAACACGGTAGCTTAAACATAGTGAAGGATGTGAGGCAGCCTGTCTTTCAAGTAGATAAAGTTCTGTGGGAGTCTGTACTTTAGAGGTAGCGAGACCAGACAAGCCCACTGGTGATCTTCTTTAATTAAGCCGAACCTGAACCTCTCAGCCTTCTAACTTTCTCAAAAAAGTTAAGATCGAGGAGAATCGATAGACCTGAAACAAAGTGGAATTACTTAAAAAAAACATTTGTGTAAACAATGATAACAAAATTTGTTTTCAGGTCATGAAAAAAATTATTTGCACTGGTACCCTTCGTATAATGAGCTCGAGTTAATTTGTTGTGCAGGCCGTACAGAGAGGATGTTTTGCAGGTTGATCCTTTTTAAGCGATTGTCAACGGATGCAAGATAAAGCCATGCTGTCTTGAACACAGTAGTTAGCGGAAGCAGTATCCTAGTTGTGTCTCACAACCAAGGCCACCAATAATTTGGTCAATACATTTATTTTAGTGATTCATTTAAAAACAATTATTAATCAATAGTTCCTGATAACGAGGAACAGGTTCCATTATTAGTTGGTCATTTAAAAACCGGAAAGTCAGGATAACGCAGAACCTTGCAGAGGACCTTTGAGAGCTATGCTCCTGTGTATCGTGTTACGGACTAAAGAAGCGTAAGCTTCGTAAAGGGTCGAAAAGGTGGTTCGGTTTGCAGTCAACTCACGTAAGTTCTATGGTACACAGAATGCGCTCTAGAGAATTTAACCGGGCCTACAAATTTGTTCCGTAACTAACGTGTTTTAGTTCAAGCTATCTGAAAAATTATTACACGGATCCACACATCTTCGTTAGGAGGGAAAAAGCTCGAAATTCGACAAAACGGTTTGGCATAAAACGATAGAGAATTCATGAAAATTGTTTCCTTGTGGTCTGACTTCATTTAAACGTCATTTTCTGCATTAACAGGACCACGTAACGTTTAAACAATACCCACAACTGCAGCAACACGTATAAAATAAACTGAAAATTGATTGACGTTCAAAAGCTTCGGGCAGCAATTTTTTGTCATTCCTGGCCTTTGCTGAAATCCATTTCGATATCGTCGAATAAAGTTCCTTCTTTCACCGCACATAAAACGGACCAAAAAGGCTAATATGGTTAGGTAAGTTGCAGAGCGTTAATTCTGACGGGTTATTTATGAGTAATTATTCTATTTTTGCGGCACCCGGAAGACTGGCGGCCCTGAAATATAAAACTTGTGTTTGTCGAGCAACAGGAAGCGATGACTCGTCTATTCTAAAACAATTGTCTGACTTCAATCCATTTTGTTAGTAGCCGCGACTGTGGCGAGCTAGAGGTTTCGCCCGAGTTCTGACCTTCAGGCAAATAATTAGAAACTAGATTCCTAGAAAATACAGGTAATTGAAAGTTGCGAAAGAAAAATAAATTTGACAGAATTCACCGGCTAGCTACGCTGCTAATACATTATAATATAATAATTAGCGCAATAAATGAAGAGAACGATTTGTCGTTAATGTCGTACTATGTAATAGAGCATGAAGACTATCTGCTTATAACGGGTCAGCCATATTGCCCGGCTGATCCAAACAAGTCATTGAAAAACGAGAACACACATGGAGACGGCAAAACAGCATCATTTTACTCACTTTACCATGGGCCTCTTGAGCTAGACATGCGGTAATCTGAATAAACAAAAACAAAACCCATACTGTCTCATAATCAGTCATACAAAAACACAAGAGCAAAACTGGACATTTGGATTTTGGAAGGATATCCTGGTCGTTCGAGGACGCAGTGAGCTCTAACCTACACGATACGCCCGATGACTATACATAGGCAATTGACTACCGGTTGAAATTAACATGAAATAAATCAAGGACATCCTGAGAATTATCAGTGAAAAATTGCGTATAACGCTAGTTGTCCATCAATTCTGAGGTAGCCGTATTGGCAATACGGCTACCGGTATTGCCTCTAAATTGCCCCTAAAAAACCTGCCGCAATACTATAATTGATGCTTCCAAAGTTCCAACTTAAAATAGGATATGCGTTCATAATAAATGAGGTTCAATCAGGACACAGTTTAGCATCAATTTAGATAGTCCACTCAAAATATGACAGGTTAAAGCAAATATATACTTTAGTCTTAGAGTTATTGCTTTTGGTGCCGAAATTATGGTGCTATTTTGCGTTTTGTGAACTTACCTCATGATTCTTGGTATAAACGATGAAGTAAAAAATCTAACGTAAAAGCCGGAATTACAAACTTAAAAAAGTCTGTACAGCGGCAAAAGTTAAAATTAGGTCAGGAACTTTGTTAAAATACGCGTATGATGTGTTAGAATGCAAAAAATTAAGTTATGTGCAAAGTTTTGAATCAATATTAGGAAATAGATATTAGAGGCTGGACCGATGTGGCACCTCAACAAACGACGACAGCAGCTCCCGAACTGGTAGGGCAGGTGCAAAGCGTTCATTTATATACCCCGTGGGCCTTGTTAGGCTCTACAAGCGTAGGAATCCGCCGAATTTACGAATTTTGTTGAAAAAAAATCAAACTTTGCATTTCCATACTGATATTTATCATTATCATGTTACCCATTTTTAGACATATTTTGCTGTTGGGTATGAATATTTACATTTTTTTATTTAGAACTCCGTAAGTAAATGTATCAAACATTTTATGAAAATTTTCAGACAGTTGGCAAAATTCAATTTTTAATGTTATTGATTAGTCACAAGTCCCTTGTTTTCACAGTTTACTTAACTAAACACAAGTGTATATAATTTTAATATTTATATTGCGTCAGAAAGTTTGAGGAATAGCTTTCCGCATCAATTGATGCCTTGCAGTGATTGCACTTTCACGTTCGTAGTTCGTACGGAACGGGCTGCGGCAACATGAGCGTGCGAGCTTAGGACCGGCCAATTAATTCGATAAATAAATAAAACGTCCTTCAATTTTTACTATATTTAACGTCATGTCTGACCTTGAGGTTAAAAATAACGCACTTAATGAAGATGGAACTCCTAAAACAGCCAAACAGCTTGAAAAAGAAGCAAAAAAGGCAGCTAAGTTAGCCAAATTCAATGAAAAACAGGCTGTATTTAAAAGTCTCAAACCATAATATTCTTCCTATACAAACAGTTATTTACCATTTGGTAGAGCAAGGTCAACTGTCAAATTTGACACATTTTTTCTCACTCTCACTGGGTAGCGTGCTTTGTCTCTCTTTGGATCTCAATATTTTCCCGCTAGATGGCCAAGACGTAGTGTTTTGGCAGTAGTTTGACGCGCAAATGTATGACGTCACCATTTCAACCATCAACAAACGCATGGAACTAAAACAAAGCTTAATATAAAGGAAAAACTAGAGAGGTGACGGAATTACCCACGATGTCGGAATATACCGCGTTTACCCTATTGTGCTCATCATGTCTGTCTGTCTGTGACTTCATGTTTTCTTCAACAAGAAAATGCGCGCTCTGTCACTCACTGCAATGAGTAGGCTTACTGAGTAATATTTTTTTTAAATTGTAGCCTGTAGGTAAAAATATTTGCAATTTACTGAATAAAATGAGAATAAGAATGAGTGAAATTCATTCACGGGCATTTTGTCTGATACAAAGGTGGTTACTGCCGATATTTTCTTTCTAGGCTTCAGGCAAAGTTATCGGCAATTAGAGGGTATTACTGTCAATGCCGATTTGACATTGACATTACTACCTTCCAACTTGTGAGCCATTACTATAATTTTATAACAAAAAATTGTCAACTTTGGTGCTGCTAAAAAATGATCGACTTCAACCTATAGTGGTTGTGTGGATTAAATGCATAACCTACACCTATAAAAATCAACCGCAATAAAACTGACCAAATAGGCTAGCAAACTGGTTAGTTTTTACAAGTGACCACTGTAGTATTAAGTATATTTTTTAACCATCAATTTCTTATTTGACCTTTGGAAATCATTTTTAATGAACAAACTTATTTGCTAAGCCATTTAGCTTTGGGTTTTAACTATGGAATATTAAGCTGAATTTTCCCAAAAAATATAGGTGAAAACTATTGTTTTACATGCAATTTTAAAAATCACTGATCAAAATTTGCAACTTTCCTTATTTATTTTCTTTATAAATGAATGTTATTTTTGCAGAAACCTGTGGTGACATATGATCTGGCTACTCCTGCTGGTGAGAAGAAAGATGTGAGTGTTGAGCTTCCAGGTCAATACAGCCCAAAGTATGTGGAGGCAGCCTGGTATCCATGGTGGAAAAAACAGGGATTCTTCAAGCCTGAGTATGGGGTGAGTGGATGGACAGTTTAGGTTTTGAGAGTTTTTTCAGCTGGCAGCACAATTTCTGTGCTGCTTGGTTATTTAAAAAAAGGTTATTGGTTTCTTGTTTCCATTATTTGTTCTGTAAATGATTATCCCTTACCAAATGGGTTTTGCTGGCATTATTTACATTTTAATCAAGCAGCTCAAAAAATAATATTCGTTATCTTATGGAACTGGAGAGAATTGTTTTGGAGTGAAACCTAATATGTTATTTGATAGATTAAACTGCAAAATAATGAATCCTAAGCTGAACAAACTTGAATTAAACAACCTTATCTCAACCTGAAATAGAAACAGCACCTTTTGCTGAACCAAAACAAGCAAGTTGAATTTGCCTGTTTTGTTCTACTTGTCAGCTTTGTGACAATACCAATACAATATGTGCTTATGTACGGTACCTACTCTTATACCGCACATAAGCATGTAATACCTACACTGGCTTCCTGGTACCCTGTACAGTATACTAGTTGATAGTTTTATTCTGACTTGTTATGTTCATTCTAGAATCTCGGATAAAAATTGGAAATATTTGATTTTTTATTACCACATAATTTTTAACATCTAAATTTATTAGGGATTTTTTGAATGAAAATAATATGCATTGAATTTTATATAATGAATGTAATTTTATCCAGGAAAGGCAACCGAATATATGAGCAGCTGGAGAGGCTTGGGTCATCTCTGGACTGGGACCGCGTGTGCTTCACCATGGACCCTGGCCCACAGGTGATGTTCCCACTGACCCACAGGTGATGTTCCCACTGGCCCACAGGTGATGTTCCCACTGGCCCACAGGTGATGTTCGCACTGGCCCACAGGTGATGTTCCCACTGGCCCACACGTGATGTTCCCACAGGCCCCTGTAAGAGGTCTACAGTGGCTTAAGTTATATAATGATTTATGTTCATCCTCGGATATAATCTGCGAATTAAAGCATTTTATTTTGTTTGGTGGGCAATAATTTTTATGAATTGTAATGGTTTCTATAGTTGTTTTTTCCAATTATTTTCCATGAGTGAGTTCATCAATGGTAAGCTGTGTTATAGCTTACAAACAACGTACACAAAGCTAAAGTTTGTCCTACAATGAGCAGGCCGCTGTGATGGAATCCTTCATCCGCCTCCACGAGGAAGGCATCATCTACCGAGCCAACCGTCTTGTCAACTGGTCCTGTTCTCTTAAGTCCGCCATTTCTGATATCGAGGTGAAGATATTTCTTGCCAATCACGAAGCAAGTTTTTTTTATCCATCTTGACCGTCATCCTAGAGCGCATTCGTTTACTACCTTGTTGCTGTGAGATGTTCACTGAAAACTATAATTCTCGTTTTTCCAAATT